TGGTCTTGTAAACCAGGGCTCGTGAGTTCGATCCTCACTGGGGGCTCATTCTTCTTTTACAGGTTTTTTTTATCACCCAGGAGTCAGTAAACGATTGCTGTCACGCGGATACTATATTTCTCCTTAGAGGCAAATAAACCAACCGGCACTCGTTTTAGCTGCATCAACATGTGAGAATGGTCAGCTTACAACCAAATTCTATATTTCTAAAGAGGTAAAGAAGAGAGTGAGATAAAATACCCGAACCCCCTATTGACCTAATTAATGTTTTTCTTCACCTGCCTTCTGTTTTCAATTCAACATGTAAAATGTTCATTTGTTTCCTTATCAGAATGTATTTGACTGCTTGAAACGCGGCTGAGTAATTTGCAGTGAAAATGTTGACCTGTCTATCAGCTTCCCTGGTGGCACAATCGGTTAGCGCGCCGTACTTATAGTCAGTACCTTCCCCATGATCACCATGGGATGAGGAATGCGGAGGTTGTGAGTTCGAGCCTCACCCGGGGCATGCTTGCTTTTATTTACTGCTATGACAGTTGGACCAACACTGTCGCTTCCAATTCACAACCACTCATTATAGCAGACATGTGGCAGGTGAAATGCATCTTCTAAGCAAAACTTACACATTTTCCTTAGTCTGAAAGTTATAATACCCAACGTGAATGGTGTTTACACAGACTATTGACTACAATCGACCAGCCCTCGCGACCAGCAGCTGTTAAAACCGCGGCGCCTTTCCCCAAGCTATCAGATGCCTCCATAGCTCAGTGGATAGAGCACTGGTCTTGTAAACCAGGGGTCGTGAGTTCGATCCTCACTGGGGGCTAGATATCCTTTGCCGGAATTTTAGCCTTTTGCAGTTGAATTGATAAAACCTCTTATTGGAGCACCACGAGGAAGTGCTGTGGAAGCAGCCTCCGTAGCTCAGTGGTAAGAGCACTGGTCTCGTAAACCAGGGGTCGTGAGTTCGATCCTCACCGGGGGCTATGTTATAGCTTTATTTTGAAAATCCAATCGTTTTTTTCCTATTGAAGTGTACAAAATGTATCTGTTCACTTTCCATTTAAATAAGACACCCGTTGTAATAGCACTGGTTGAAGGTGTGTTTGAGATGTGTCATTTTAGTTCCTTTTGCAGGAGTTGTGCTTCTGAGTATAGTTGTCGAGAGTGAACATAAGGATTAATAAGTCACCACCCATGGCTAACTGCCTCAATAGCTCAGTGGATAGAGCACTGGTCTTGTAAACCAGGGGTCGTGAGTTCGATCCTCACTGGGGCCTCATTCTTTTTTTACAGTTTGTTTTTTTTTATCACCCAGGAGTCAGTTTACGATTGCTGTCATGCGGATACTATATTTCTCCTTAGAGGCAAATAAACCAACCGGCACTCGTTTTAGCTGCATCAACATGTGAGAATGGTCAGCTTACAACCAAATTCTATATTTCTTAAGAGGTAAAGAAGAGAGTGAGATAAAATACCCGAACCCCCTATTGACCTAATTAATGTTTTTCTTCACCTGCCTTCTGTTTTCAATTCAACATGTAAAATGTTCATTAGTTTCCTTATCAGAATGTATTTGACTGCTTGAAACGTGGCTGAGTGATTTGCAGTGAAAATGTTAACCTGTCTATCAGCTGCCCCGGTGGCACAATCGGTCAGCGTGCCGTACTGGGGTTGTCTACCTTGGTTTGAAAGAGGATGGACGTGTTGACATCGCCTCCTGCGATTGTTCGTTTTAACGACTGAAGGAGATATAATGGATATATACAAACATCAACTACAACCTCAATAGACCCGTGAAGATTCCGGGGTAGAATAGGTCTTTAGCAAATCATGCTTGCCGAAAAAAGGCGACTATGCTTGTTGTAAAAGGCGACTAACGGGATCGGGTGGTCAGGCTCGCTGACTTGGTTGATACATGTCAACGATCCCAATTGTGTGGATCGATGCTCATGATGTCAATCACTGGATTGTCTGGTCCAGACTCAATTATGTACAGACCGCCGTCATATCTGGAATATTGCTGAGTGCAGCGTTAAAACACAAACAAACAAACAAACAACCTCAATAAATCAAAACCGATCAGAAGTAGTGACGTGTGCACGCCTTGTCCCACAGAATACAGAGACAAGGCACGGACAATGCCCATGATGAAGAGAGACAACATGGCGAGTGTCCTCGTGCGACTTTAGGAAACGTGAGCACCAAAACGAATGGACATTCAAAGTGGACACTGGGTTTGACAGAGTAAAATCATCAGACATCATTAATGCGATAGAATATGACTTTGGTGATAATAGTGTTTTTGCCTGTGTGCCACGAGGCGGGTGTTATGAAGTCAATCTGTGGGACGAGGAAACAGCAAAAGTTGTGGCGGGGGGTATTTCTATCAAAGGAAATTCGTACAACTGTAGTATTGTTACGGATCAATCTTTGGTGGTGTCGTTTCTGCATTTAACCCCCTACATTGAAGGCAGTAAAATCATTGACATGGTACATGCATTGGAGTTGAGGTTATCTCCAACATCAAAAGGCATTTCAATAAAGATGAAAAGAGAAAGATCACAAATGGAACAAGGTATGTGAGAGTGAAATTCCTAGGGCAACTGAAAACAGCGTACAATTTGACACTTGTGATGGCCCACAACCTTGAAGGGTCATACACAATAGACATGTCAAAACGTGTAATTTGTGTTTTGAAACAAACCATGTCATAGCTGAATGTCCATCTGCTGAGTGTTGTGTTTTCCATGAACAGGGACATATAGCATGAGCTTGTCCTCTGAAACAACGTTGCGACAGTTGCAAAAACATAATGAGACACTGTATGTGTGGTAGCGACAAGAATGACAAACCTGTCATAGAACTGAGTAGAAAACCTTCAGTATCTGAAGAAGATACAGTTGATGACGGAAAAACTGTTGACCCTTTCAGTGTGCATATGGAGACAATTGATGGTGTCACTGTTGACCCTTTCAGTGTGCATATGGAGACAATTGATGGTGTCACTGTTGACCCTTTCAGTGTGCATATGGAGACAATTGATGGTGTCACTGTTGACCCTTTCAGTGTGCATATGGAGACAATTGATGGTGTCACTGATGACCCTTTCAGTGTGCATATGGAGACAATTGATGGTGTCACTGTTGACCCTTTCAGTGTGCATATGGAGACAATTGATGGTGTCACTGTTGACCCTTTCAGTGTGCATATGGAGACAATTGATGGTGTCACTGTTGACCCTTTCAGTGTGCATATGGAGACAATTGATGGTGTCACTGTTGACCCTTTCAGTGTGCATATGGAGACAATTGATGGTGTCACTGTTGACCCTTTCAGTGTGCATATGGAGACAATTGATGGTGTCACTGTTGACCCTTTCAGTGTGCATATGGAGACAATTGATGGTGTCACTGTTGACCCTTTCAGTGTGCATATGGAGACAATTGATGGTGTCACTGTTGACCCTTTCAGTGTGCATATGGAGACAATTGATGGTGTCACTGTTGACCCTTTCAGTGTGCATATGGAGACAATTGATGGTGTCACTGTTGACCCTTTCAGTGTGCATATGGAGACAATTGATGGTGAGGCAACCAGTCATGAGAACGACTGGTCGTTGTCGGTCCCTACCGAAGCCAACAAAAACATTGATTGAATGCCGGTTGTCACATCTGCTATTGATCACATTATAGCTGATGATAAGGTACAAGAAGGAAGGAATGAAAAAGTGAGAATGATAAGTATGGATACAAGTGAGATCGTAGAAGAACGAGAAGGGGAGTAAGAGGTTGGCTCAGAGAGTCTAGATGATAACTCTGATCAATCATTATCTGAACTCAAGGATGTTAAGCAGGGCACTAAATTTAGAAAGATTCAGGGCATGAATGAAGAAAAGGTTGTGAAATTGTCATAGGAAAGAAAGAGGAAAAAAACAGCTAATGGAGAGAATGGCATGATTATGAAGCAAATGAGAAAGGGCAAGGCTAGAGCCAGAGCCGAGGCCAAAGCTAAAGCCAGAGCCAGAGCCAGAGCCAGACCCAGACCCAGACCCAGAGCCAGAGCCAGAGCCAGAGTCAGAGCCAGAGCCAGAGCCAGAGTCAGAGCCAGAGTCAGAGCCAGAGCCAGAGCCAGAGTCAGAGCCAGAGCCAGAGCCAGAGCCAGAGTCAGAGCCAGAGCCAGAGCCAGAGTCAGAGCCAGACCCAGAGTCAGAGCCAGAGCCAGAGCCAGAGCCAGAGTCAGACCCAGACCCAGACCCAGACCCAGACCCAGAGCCAGAGCCAGAGCCAGAGCCAGACCCAGACCCAGAGTCAGAGTCAGAGCCAGAGTCAGAGCCAGAGTCAGAGCCAGAGCCAGAGCCAGAGCCAGAGCCAGAGCCAGAGCCAGACCCAGACCCAGACCCAGAGCCAGACCCAGAATCAGAGTCAGAGCCAGAGTCAGAGCCAGAGCCAGAGCCAGAGCCAGAGCCAGACCCAGAGCCAGAGCCAGAGCCAGAGTCAGAGCCAGAGCCAGACCAAGAGTCAGAGCCAGAGCCAGAGCCAGAGCCAGAGTCAGAGCCAGAGCCAGAGCCAGAGCCAGAGCCAGAGCCAGAGTCAGAGCCAGAGCCAGAGTCAGAGTCAGAGCCAGACCCAGAGTCTTCTTCAGATACTGAGGTTTTTCTACTCAGTTCTATGACAGGTTTGTCATTCTTGTCGCTACCACACATACAGTGTCTCATTATGTTTTTGCAACTGTCGCAACGTTGTTTCAGAGGACAAGCTCATGCTATATGTCCATGTTCATGGAAAACACAACACTCAGCAGATAGACATTCAGCTATGAGATGGTTTGTTTCAAAACACAAATTACACGTTTTGACATGTCTATTGTGTATGACCCTTCAAGGTTGTGGGCCATCACAAGTGTCAAATTGTACGCTGTTCGGTTTTCAGTTGCCCTAGGAATTTCACTCTCACATACCTTGTTCCAATTGTGATCTTTCTCTTTTCATCTTTATTGAAATGCCTTTTGATGTTGGAGATAACCTCAACTCCAAATGCATGTACCATGCCAATGATTTTACTGTCTTCAATGTAGGGGGCTAAATGCAGAAACGACACCACCAGAGCCAGAGCCAGAGCCAGAGCCAGAGCCAGACCCAGACCCAGAGCCAGAGCCAGAGTCAGAGTCAGACCCAGAGCCAGAGCCAGAGCCAGACCCAGACCCAGAGCCAGACCCAGAGTCAGAGTCAGACCCAGAGCCAGAGCCAGAGCCAGAGTCAGAGTCAGACCCAGAGCCAGAGCCAGAGCCAGAGTCAGAGTCAGAGTCAGAGCCAGAGCCAGAGCCAGAGTCAGAGCCAGAGTCAGAGTCAGAGCCAGAGCCAGAGTCAGAGCCAGACCCAGAGTCAGAGCCAGAGCCAGAGCCAGACCCAGAGTCAGAGCCAGAGCCAGAGTCAGAGCCAGAGTCAGAGTCAGAGCCAGAGCCAGAGCCAGACCCAGAGTCAGACCCAGACCCAGAGCCAGACCCAGAGTCAGAGTCAGACCCAGAGCCAGAGCCAGAGCCAGAGCCAGAGCCAGAGTCAGAGTCAGACCCAGAGCCAGAGCCAGAGCCAGAGTCAGAGTCAGAGTCAGAGCCAGAGCCAGAGCCAGAGCCAGAGCCAGAGTCAGACCCAGACCCAGAGCCAGAGCCAGAGCCAGAGCCAGACCCAGACCCAGAGCCAGAGTCAGAGGCAAGGAATGATAGTGTAAATGAAAGTGAATGTGAAAAGGAGGATTAACAATGTATCTTTCTTGTCCTACTTTCATTCTCATGGTGTTAATCATGTCATGGAATGTAAATGGTCTTCATGAAAAAAGTAGATCATGTTCTCACAACCGTGAAAATTCACATGCAGATATTTGTTTTCTTCAGGACACTTTCTGGAATGATGATTTCATCAAACGAAATATAAACATCTATGGCAAGGACAGATATTTTTTACAATTGACCAAATGAAAAAAGAAAAGGAGTCGCAATACTTTTCTCATCACGTTTTCCCAATAAGGTAAATTTTCACAGTTGTGACAACAATGGTAGACTTTTAAAAGTTCGCTTTGAAAAGGACAATAATTTGTATTCATGTGTTAATCTATGTGTCCCAAAATAATACAACAGAGGGAATTGTGTTTTTAGACACGTTGGCAAAATATCTATCAGGCGATAACGTGATAGCAGCAGGAGACTATAATGAGATATTAGGTGTATTTATGGATAGAGCATCAAATATGAAAACATTAGATATGAGAAGTAGTGAAAAATTACAGCGTTTTATCCCTTACAAAAACGTATGTGACATTTTTATCTAGATAAAAGAGAATTCACACGACAGCAAATGAAGCAGTCTCGCATTGATTTCTTTTTATTTCCAGATAATTCCTTATGCAATAAACACATATATCAAATATTCATCTAAACATAATCACAATATGTTAATTTAGAATTCTCCCGTGTAGACAGAAGTGCTTCATTATGGGGTTTTTTATCATCAGTTGTTACAGGACACTGAATTAAAGTCAAAAGTCATAAGTATCATCAATGAAAATTTATTGTGTCCACTCTATGAAGATAAAACATTAATATGGTGTGCAAATTTCAAACATCAAGTTAAAAATGTGCAATCTATTTTATTTGCCAAAAAAGTAAACAAGAAAAATGTGAATATTATAAACTGCAAAATAATCTAAGGCGTAAGTATAACAAATTAATTAAATTTCCTTGCACACATCTAAAGTCGTCAAAAGGAATTGGAGATTTATGAGGAAAATAAATGTGAAAGGGCAATTCTCTGCTCAAAAGTTCAATGGGCACTGGAATGTGATAAAAATACGTCTTTTTTCTTACATTTGGAGAAATGTAAACAGGAATCCAATTGCATCGAAGAAATAATGACGGAAAATGGTTTTAACTCGTCAAACCGAATATATTCTTGATCATGCATATACATTCTATTCTAAATTGTATTCAGCCAGAGAAACTGATTTAAATATGTCTAATAACTGACTTTCTTCCAGATGAAGATCCCCGTGGGGACCCGGGGAAGATAAATAAGAATGTGTCCTCAGCACCCCATTGCTGGTCGTAAAAGGCGAGCGAATTAGACAGCCTGTTTGCCGTGGGCTGCGACCCTGTGTCGGCAAAGGAAGGGAGTCTGGTGGTTGAGGAGCCGGCAATAATGCTCCTTAGTGCAACACACTAACTTTGCCTAGACCGGCGGTAGAATTGGCCTGATTCTATCAATCGGTGGTCATGTCATTCCCTGTGCATAAACTATTTCGCACAAACTTTCGATATGTAAAAAAAAATTATTCTAAATCTCTATTCTATATGAATGAATCTATAAACTTGCTTAGAGCCCCCTGCCCAGAAGGTGGTGGCTCATGGGCCAATCTGGTGATGCTGACCCCCCGAATTCTGTACGTCACAAATTGATTGTCATGGGCCGAATCAGCCTGACCTTTAATTTGGTAGATAGTTATAGCTTTTCGTGTCACATTTGCTGGAGTATACCACCCCTTTATCCCCGGTCTTTGCAGCTTGGAAATCTGCTGCAGCATAAGACTGTCCTTGTTGACACTCCATAGTGGGTGGGGGAAAGGTGTGCAGAATTATTTTCGTTTCGACATGGCTTCCCAAAAACAAATTGTCAAAGAACTTTTCCAACAGTCAGCAGTCACAGCTGTGAAGCGGTTTACTGTCAAGAAGAATGGTGTTGCTCTCTCTCTCTCTCTCTCTCTCTCTCTCTCTCTCTCTCTCTCTCTCTCTCTCTCTCTTTCTCTCTCTCTCTCTCTCTCTCTCTCCCTCTCTCTCTCTCTCTCTTTCCCCCTCTCTCTCTCTCTCCCCCTCTCTCTCTCTCTCTCTCGTGGATGTATTCTGCTTGTAAAGTGGGCGCCTACGTCTTAAGCGTTTCGTCAGACTCGCCTCTAGTCCTCAAGCATTACCTCTGAGTCATGCTATATCCTATAACTAATACCTGACGACAAACCTGAATCCTGTTTCAAACCAATATCTGATTTCTCGTGATGCAACACCATCCGCCTTGTTAGGATTCGAACCTGACTGCACAGATGTAGCTCAAGTTTGTGGACCTGTATATTAACCGACTGATGTGACCTAACCTGGCCTGACCTGAAATTGCCCTGACCAGCCCTGGGAGGGTAACCTGGTATGTGTAAAGAATTGTAGTGGTGGTAGAAAATGTCAGTAAGGGCAAATAACAACGACTGGTAAAAATAACAAGTGCTTTCTTCCGGAAAAGATCTCGAAAACCTTAAAACAATATTTCCTCACCACTAGTCGCACACAGATAGGTCTAGTGGTGAACTGGTGCCTTTTGATAGTTTTGGATTTTAAAAAAAACTATTTTTCGAGTTTCCATGGCAACATTGTGGTCGATATCAATGACTGTGTCTTCTCGTCCATATTGTTTTGAGTGATTGAGGGAGTGAGTAGTTTTTTTCACGTTCGTCCTAACCTTGCTGTAACACGCAAATCGGCCACCTAAATCACAGAGTATGTCGAACAAGTATGAATCGAACAAGGAACTTGCCGCGCACTAGGCCAACACGTTATACATTTATCTATCCTGCCGCAATGTTGTTTTGAAGGTCAATGCTATGCTATGTTCTTACTTATATAAACAGTTTATAATAATTCTGTATTGGGTAATATATAAGTCAGGTAAAACGTATACACGTAATTCGCTTATGACGAGCAATAACAGACTGAATTCTTGTCTAATATAAACGAAAAGACAGGTGAGAGAAACATTTTCACCGGAGCATTGACTGGACAATAGTTACAAGTTTTAAATATTAATATTACTACAACAAGGTGAACATAATGCGCGATCCGCAAATGTCCTTCTGTCATTCATCGCAAACTGATGAAACTGTAAACGATTGTACATCTTCCCGATGCAAGGGAGTTAACTGACTTAAAAATCCAGCTTCCATCCTTGCCAAACTAGATTGGATTTATGAAGTTATATGTTTGCTGGAGTAACGAGTCTATACATAGTCAAATCAAAATCCCGAAACGATATCGACATCTGGTTCACAAACAATAACTGCCGTGCCGAATTCGTTCGATTCCAGGATTTGCAGAGCATGTGTAAAGTAATTTTTCCAAATCTTTTCATGTTTTTAATCAAGGTGCTCAAGTGATATGATGCATTTCGTGAGGTAACCAATAAAGAGCTTTAGTATCGATGAGTTCGTCTTGATTGGGAGCCACCATATTGCTTGAAGCAAATGCAAGTGATATGAGAGGTGGTCAGTAGGGTGCATAGAAGGGACATAACTCGTAATAGCCCCTGGTGGCGTTATGATCGATCCCAGAAATTCAAGCCAAATTCGGCAAGGGTTGAAACTGGACTCAGTTAACACCCTTGCCTCGTGAAGCCTGTCTGTTCTGAATGCGTTTACCTGGAATCTCTTACTAAATTTATAAAAGGCATCAATTATTGAATATTTATATTTACAGTGACCAAAAACTGTTTTGTGTGTCTTCGCTTTTTGGGGGACACTGGGAATATGATGATATACAGTGCGATCTTTTGGAGATCTTTAGATATCTTCAAAGTGAATCGAGATGTTTAAAATACGACCTGCTCTAGTTTTATCATAACTTCCAAAATATATGTTTCAAATCTATATATCATTATCGTTTAATATATATGTATAGCCTACTCGTCGTGGACAATGACCAAATGGGCCAATAGAATTAAATATTGCTCAACTTTGTTGATTCGACCTATCTTCATCAAGTTTAATTAATATAGATATTATATACATTTTTAAAGGTACAGTATGAGAAACTAGATATTGAGGGAGGGTAGGGGTCCGCACCTTCCCTTTTTGTCACGCCCCTCTACTCTACAACAGAATCCGCCCTTGAACAGAATTTAATTATGAACAACTTGATATAACTATTTTTGTGTTGGGATGTTCTAAGTAACACCTTCACTAAAAATATTAATGTCATTTAAGAGCAATTGCCCTGTCGTAAACAAGAATGTATGTATGTTAACCCTCTTCTATCTCATTTAAAAAGACGGGATTAAACAACCGAAACAAACGCCTCCACGTATCTTAGATTTCTAAACTATGAAATATATAGTTGAAATTTGGCATAACATTCGAGTATTACAGGTTTCTATGACTTAAAACATGTTTTCGGAAGTGGGAAGTGAGATGCAATGTGGAGCTTCCCATCTTTCCAAAACGGTGTACGTCAGTATGAAGTTGGAAGCGGCGTTGTCCTTTCAAGTTTCCATCTTTTAAAACAGATTTCGAAAGTGAGAAGTAGGAAGCGGTGTAGAACTTTCAAATTTTCATCGCTATATTTTGAAAGATGAATTGGCAAGTAGATTAGAAACAGGCCACGTCGAAACGACCTCTTGTTGCGCGTGTATGGGCCATCCTTCTAGAGCCTGTCCCATCCGTTGACGTCTCAAACGATCAAGGCTGAATGATCGTACGTACAAGGGCGGATAACTCTAGTTCTAGTACAAAACCAAAGGTGGGGTGAAATGGGGTTTAACGTCGCGTCCAAGATGATTGCACGTGTGTGTGTGTGTGTGTGTGTGTGTGTGTGTGTGTGTGTGTGTATGTGTGTGTGTGTGTGTGTGTATGTGTGTGTTTTCTAGCCAGGACTGATACCGATTTGTAGTGCCAGCACACTAAGATCCCATGCCCAGACACAGCATACCGACTCCGAGCCGACCAGTCTTTTGGTATG